GAACGAAGCTCTATAAACGTTAGTACTGCATTCATGTAGTCCACTAAAACAAAAACTTGAAAAACGAATAAAAAGAAAAGAAAAACATAGTTCAGTACTCGTGATGGTTGAACTTCGTGAGTACTGTATTTATGCACGACATTCTCACGAAGTTCAACCATCGCGAGTACAGAACTATTGTACTTTCTTTTTTTATTCGTTTTTCAAGTTTTTGTTTTAGTGAACTACATAAATGCAGTACTAACGTTTATAGAGCTTCGTTCTTCCTACGAGTCTGGGAACCCCCTTGTTACCTGAGAAATTGTGTCTATACTCATCTTATGTTGAAAGAACCTCGTTCTTACCGTGGGTCCCGTGGCCAATTTATACCCCCTGGTTTGTTGTTTTAATTTCCTTTATGTTTGTTTCATTTATTTTATTTTTGTTCTCATTTCTTGTTTTATTTTTTTTTCATATTTAATTTCATTACTTTTTTTTTCATCTTTTTGTATTTCCTTTATTTTATTTCTTTTTTCATATTTAATTTCATTACTTTTTTTTATTCATAACAGTAATTAACAGCATTACTGTAATGCCAAAAAAACCTCAGGTTTAATAAAAATCGGTCGGTATTTTATGCATCAAATGCATAAAATACAAATATTCAATGCGTAATAACGCGCCTTATGCGATTCAATCTACATAACTATATTTATGCTTATTAAACTTTTTGTCTTTTTTAATTTTTTTTTTTAAATTTTTCATTTAGAAAATAAATAAATAATTTATCATTAATTGAATGTGTTATCAGTGAATGCATATGAAAATGAAATATTGTAGTTACGAACCACACGATAAGTACAAGAAACCGAATTCATACAGACGATGGCGTTCGTGGCAGAGTGGGTAAGGAACTCGACTCATATGCAGGTGGTCAAGGGTTCAAATCTCTTTAATGGAAAATGTTTTTTTTTTTTTTTAAGTATTGTTAAAGAAAAAAATTCAAAGTAAAGTAAAAATTATTGTGAGAAAACAAAATTAAAATTCGTTTAAAAATAAATAGCTTTGGAGTTTGAAGGGGAATGGTGGGCAAAGGTGTGTAGGAGAGTAGCGTGGCACGGTTGAAAAATATATGGTGGGGTGAGGGAAAGTGTGTAGGGAACTGATAACGAGGACGACGAGGTAAGGGGAGAAACTTAGGAGGAAGAGACTTCCGGTACGTCACTTCCGTTTCCTTAAATCTGTCAGTTTTAAAATTTCAGCGCCCCCCTCCCCAGCACGTGACATTAAGAACTTCGTTCTAAAAAGAATTCCGAAATCGTATAACCGTAAAAGGGCTATAGTTGCATGTTCGTCTGTCTACCCACCAAAGCCGTTTATCTTGAGATAGCGTCCAACATGTCAACCGGAAAGTTCTTAGTGGTATTAAGCAGGTACATTGCTCATCAGGGGATTTCATCTAATGTGTATCCTGATAATGGGACCAATTTTACTGGAGCAAATAGATGACTTCACGAAGTCTTCTTACTACACAATACTGAACCGTTTCGCAACACCATCAACGAATATGCTGCGTCTGAGCAGATTATCTGCCACTTTAATCCCCTGCTATTCCCACACTTTGATGGCGTTTGTGGAGTTAGCCATAAGCCTTTTTAAACATCACTTTTACCGTGTAGTAGAGAAACGAATGCTAACATCCGAGGGATTTTCTACTTAAGCCACTGAGATTAAAGCTGTTTTGAACTGGCGTCCACACATTTCCATGTCATCAGACCCAAATAATTTTGTCGCCATATCTCCTGGTCATACACTCAAAGGCCGCCCATTGACTAATTTATCTGGCGGAGACTATACTTCTGTTCCAGAAAATCGTCTTAAAGTTTGGATCTTTATAACTCGAGTCCAACATGATTTTTGGCGCAGATGGCATTTGGAATATTTGACCAAGATACTAAAGCGGCAGAAGTGGCTCGCAGAAAGGGAGATATCAATATCGCTACCGTTGCCGTTATTATCGATAAATACCAGGCTTGTTGTAACTGACCTTTAGGTACCGTAACAAAGGTTTTTCCCGGGAAAGATATAGTCATACGCAATGTCAGATTAAAAACCGCACAAAGCGAGTATAATCGCGATACAACAGCTCTATCTTCATTGCCTCACGCAAATTGGAGAGATAAAGAGTTGACGATGCCCATCGAATCGAATTTGACCACGTTAACGCGACAAATAATATATTTATGTATCTCGACAAGTAAACATGGTTTGTAACTTTCTGATGTACTTTTATGATGGTTTTTGTTAATATACTTGACTGGCATTATAAGGTGTACGAGTATTTGTCAAAATATTGTCATGTTTTTTTTTACACGATCTTAATACTGCACGTATTGTATATATCTGCACGATCATTATGTAGAACAGAAATGAAGATAATAAATCATACAATAAATAAATAAATCATACATATTAATACGGTGTGGCACGGCCAAGAGGTGGCACGGACTTATAGTCGAGCGGGTAAAAGAAGGGGTGAACAAATGCGCCGCGTCTGTTTTTGGGCCTTCCTCTCCTTGTTCAGGCAGATAAACTGCAAAAAAAGGGAAGAGTCAAGGTCAAAGTTAATCAACGTGGCTTACTTCGTCAGTGCATGTGTACATCGCTTCCACTAAGCGTGGTAAGTGGTCAATCAATCTGGATTAGATCGTTATGCTTTGAGTCGCGACAAAACAGTACACAAGGTCACACTCTTAAAAGGTAATCAAATCAGCGAAAAAATACCATACGATCGCTGCCACCAAACAAAAAAGGCACTCTTCATCCTTAACACGAGCTGCACGCGTATGATTGAGTCGGTGAGACATGCTGACAACAATATCTATCGTCATTATGTGAGGCATGATCTTACAACCTCGAATAGTGCAGGTTTCTTGAGATGCAGGATGCGGTTCAGCCAAATGCTACCTCCCTCCCTCCCTTACTTGACTGTAGACTTTTGTACATGATTAGTTTGGATTGTATTGTCACGAATGTGCATACATATTATTTTAGGAAACTGATTCTCAAATAATAGCCCAATCGAAACAACATAGAACAAATTAAATATGGTCATCCTAACACGTTCAAATGCGATAATATATTCTATTTTTACAATTGTATTGACCCAAAAACTGTTCTTACTACGTTTTATTCAGACGTAAAAATAGTATCACACACAGCTCTTCAATATTGAAATAACGACACCACTGATCAGTCTGTAAAATTGCTACAAATAAAGAATAAAATGCAATCATATCTATTTTCGAACAACTTGTACAAAAATGATTGAAATTTTGGCCCCACACAACCAACATAGCACCAAAATCAATTATAAGCCAGTTGGAATCGCTTCTTTAAGACAAGCTTATTGCAGTGTATATTTGGCAACTTATCTACTTCTTTAATAGAAAATTATCCCTGCACTTACAAAAACGTTCAAGTACCATTAGAATTACAAAATAACACTAGCTTTCGGTCAAGGTCAAATTCTTTCAATAATCAAAAAATTTGATACCAAAATTTCCTAAACAAATCCATCTCTTAAACAAGAACAGTGTTTGTCACCTAGAAGCAGTGGAAAGCATAAACAATTTGTACAACTAACCGAGTGTCTGTTGCAAGAAACATTTGCAATGTGCTGACAGTAAAACTCAAATCTTACAAGTTTATATAAGCAAAGACACATTCATCATAAATGCATGAGCTGACATCAATACCATAAAAATATGTTGAGTACTACCAAATGTTATTACAATGAAGGATACAGAAATTTTTCTTATTACAAGTCAACAGGAAAATTTTCACAAAATTACAGAGGATGTTAGTATGAGAGTCAACTATAACAGAAGTTAATTAAGTTAAAAAAGGCTATTAATTCTTAAAACATTGTAAATGTAAGCTTAAAACTAACTAATTTATACTATCTGTAAAAATCAATTATTTCTGACTTTACCAAATTTATTAAGTCATCAGGTTAGATATAACCTAATTTTTTTAAACTTTCTCAATTCAAATGATTCAAGATTTAAAAATACTAATTGATAGAAACATAATTTTGCTTTGATAAATAAATTAAATAATAAGCAAGGATTCAATAGGTAACGCATGACAAAGGCCTTTACAAGGACGTGACATAACACGAAGATTTAAATACAATACTGCTGCATTTGGTAATGAGATATTAATTTAAACAGCATGTCAACGCCTGCTCAGTGTACGACGAACTTACACCACTTCATACATACCATTTGGTGAAACCTAAGAAGCAAACGCCAAGTTGACGATTTAAAAAAAAAGATACTGTACGTACGAGCAAATAAGGCCTTAAGGCTGACAGCTGGTTGCTTACGAATAAATAGTAGTCTTTGTTGGGTAAGTGCCGTCATGTCCGGGGCTATTTTGCGGCCCGAGGGACCTCTGAAGCAGGGCCCGTGGGACGTGAGGTAGCCGTAGAGCAATGGCACTTATTTGGTGAATTTTTTTTTTTCTATCGAGGGCCTACCTGACCCTCCATAATGCCCGAGGTCAGAAAAATTAAATTTTTTTGTTAATAAAAGAAATCTACGAGCTCTACCCTTTATTTAAAAGTCCTGACGTAACATTTATACAATCATAACTAAAAGTAGTTTAATCAAAATGATCCTGGTGATAATTGTTAGAGTTTTTGAGTTTTTTTTCATATGGCTACATAAAAAAAGTTTCTTAGCTACTTTCTCTTTAACTTAAGAAATTACTTTACTACAGTTGACACGTCCGAATATTTTCTTATTTACGTCATTGGTTGTTATATATTTGTTGACTTTTTATGTTTATCTAAACTAAGATGTATAAATTATTATTGAATGTTATCACACGGTAATATTATATGAACTCCGTGGTAACACCTTTTCTTTAATAGACTTATAATAATAACAATAAATAAGTCCGACTTACTTTCAAGCAGTCAAACGAAATACTAAGAACTTATGGTGATATTTTAGCTTTGGACTGTATATTTAGAAGAATACGTGGCTTGTAATCCAAGTTTTGAGATTCCAAATGCGAACGTCAATATTTTGTTGGAGTTCTGGGGTAAAGTTACACCAAGCATTCTTCAGTTACTTACGAACTCAAAATTGGTAAGTACCTTATCAGTTTATTTGATGTGGTATATATTCGAACAAAATTTTACACGTTAGTACTAGATGTATGACAATCGTGAAGATTTTATTGATCAATTATAAAAAAACTGCACATAACAATATGAAAGTGTTTCTCAAATTCCCAGAAAAAGTCTTATTATTTTCTGAATTTTTACTTTTTCAGTTTATACAATGTTACGTATAATACGCAGGGAATATCGTACGTACGGAACAATAATAAGAGTGAAATATTTTTTTAAATATGCCCAATTTATGATACATATCTTTGCTGTCTGATGCCCCACTAAAGTAACGATTGCTTCCATATAAAATAAGTTACTAGTTTTATGAATTACTTAGCTTGATTTAGGGATCTAGAAAATAGTCCTAAAGGAAGGTAACATTTTTAAATAAGTTTTTAAAAGATCTATACCCATTGAACCTTTCTTTTTTTATTTTAACCCGTGTAATAAACTCTATTACTACCTCCTTATCATTTACTCATTTACAAAAAATCTCTTAAACATTAAAATTACTATCAGAAAAACCACAATAACAAACTTTTAAGGTACAAAAATAAGATTCTTCTACGGAGCTACTTCGAGTTTAGAAAAGTGATATCTTTAAGTCTCGGATCATCAGAATCAGAATCAAATATGAAGAAGAAATATGAAAAAAATATGCACGTATCACTACACTTAAGCTACTGTGCACATTTGGGCCAGTGCTTTGCCGTTGGAAAACCAGCTGTCCCATAGTTTACCACTAATCTAGCAAGCAGTGAAAAAGTTTTTGTTGCCCAAGTGGTCTATTCTAAGCTCTAAGTATTAAGTAGAATAATTTGTTATGAATTAGTACCTCTTCGTATGAGTAAGTATACTGGGAGGGTTTTGGCTCAACTCCCCCCTTCCCCCTTGGAGGAGCTGTAGCATAAGGCTTCTGGCCCACCGAGGGGGGAGCTGTAGCACGAGAGTATGGGCCTCTCCCCTCGGAGTGGGCAGCGGAGGGGGAGTGCCGCACGTGTGGTAAGAGGTCAGCTGTGCTATTGCACGAGCTTATCCGCACTCCCCCTCTTCTAGTGTCAGCTTGTTTCCCAGACTGGCTTTGGAATGGGACCACTTACCTACACGCATGAAAATGTACAACTGTGTACGAACATGTGTGTGCTCGTGCTAATTCAAGTGATCATGTACGTAGACATCGATGAAATAAAACGAGTAAACGTTTAGTTAAATCATGCACTTTTCTGCACAGTCCAATAAATGTTATAGTAGAGTAGCAGTAAGAGGTCAGCTGTGCTATTTCACGAGCTTATTCGTGCTCCCTATCTTCTAGAGTTGGCTATTCCCCGCCATGCATGGCAGCCAGGTGAATAGATTTTTGTGCTCAAATATCAGCATCTTACCTGAAATAGCTGAGTAAAGTTTTCTTACAAGGATGTGGATAAAGAAATTAACTTCAATAAATATGTTTTGTGTTATCGTATATAAAAACATTGAATATGGAATGTGAAGATACCATTTTTTTATTACATATAATATTTCTTACACCTATGATTTCTTATATAATTTATTACGTCTATTATTTTCACATGATAATTCTTACATCTATTATTTCTTACGTTATAACTATACATAACTATACTAACTAATCTTGTATGTTTAACTATATTTAATTATAACTTATAATTGTTACTCCAAAATAATACTAACACATTTATTAAACGTAAACCCACCCAACCTTTTATAAAATCGCCACTTGTTTTAAGCGGTCTTATGCTGCATGTAATAGTTTTTTTTTTTACATATCTTACATCTATCTAATCTTCTCACATCCACAACAGAGAGTGGACTGTTACTCCTACTGTCACAAATGTTATTATCACTATCTCCATCATTAATAAGAATGTTTCATAAGCAGATGTTGACGTTTTTTTTTTTGACAATAGAATAGTTTTCATAAGGTTATACATATTGGTAAATACTGCTCCAAAGGGTCCCAACATCCCAACAAGACTGCTTTTATTTTTCACACGTGCTCTTTTTCTGACGCTTCTATTGTTTTATGGTAACAGTATTGTTGCAGCAGCAGTACTCTTATTGTACGAATTTATTTTTTCGTACAATCGATGGAATTTTTAAAAATGTGAGAGTAAAGGAGATTATTTGAAAAAATTTTTTATTTTCAAAACTACCATACATCATCTATACATCAAGGATAGCTTATCTGTTCAGCATTATTATTCTTTAATATACATTTTTTTGTAGCTGTAGCATTCTTCGCAGCACGATAGGCTGATTAAAATGTACGACTTGTACATGTCACATGAATCATGTTAAATTGTTTAAATGATAATTACTCTCCAAAGTTGTAAATGAACCTAAGAGGAGGAAAATAGTCCTTTAGTTTTTTATTTATTATACATTGGATTTTATGAATTATACCTATTGAGGAGCACTTGACGAAGCCATTTTGTTTTCTCAAGTCCTTTAACGTAAATTACGTCATCCTGTTCAATAACAGACCGATCAGTGACGATTAAATCTTCATAGGGCACTTCTCCAGAGTCCCAAAGGAGACCATGGTAATTACGTTCTAATCATCGATTTTGACGTTTATTTTCAGGCCTTAGCTGACCCCAAGGAGGGGGGGGGGGTTTGAAAAAAAATACTTTTGGTGTAGAATCTTTTTCCTTCAAAGGTAGAATTGCTACCTCTTTAAAAATGAATTCGTAAAATATAGTCTTTAAACCTTAAGTATCAATTACGTAGTTGGACATCTTCAAGCTAGTACAACTAACAGCCAACTAATATTAATGTCTACTTACAACCTTTTTTATACGTGTATTATAGAATTTTGTTGCACCACTGCGAGGTAGCGCTCTTATCTACGTAACCAAATAGCTTAAAACATATGTCAAAGCACCGTAGGAATCATTTGAGGACGTTAGCAATCGGTGTCTGCATCATGGAGCAACTTTCTAATAGCTCTGCTAATGCTGACTGTACAGAAAATTTTGTAACGTCTTGTGAAATAGTGTGAGTAGAACATTAACGACTGTTGAAGAATGAAAATATAACAAAAATTTAAGATAGTACTTGAAAGCATTAAGAACTATCAAAAATCTGTGAAATTGTCATCGCGCATTAAGTAAAGACTATTAAATATTGGGTGTCTCATAACAACTTTTTTAGAAACATTTTTTAAAAAATTGGAAATTCAAGGATATGGTCTGGCTACTACATCAAACCATAATGACGATGATGCTGCTGTGGTAAGGAAAAAACTTGATAGTGCGTTTCAGAATCGTATAACAACTGTCATTATTGTAAATAGCCAGCACTTAGATGTTATGGATTAATGGAATTAAAATTTATGGATTCTGCGGAAAAAGAGTCTGTTTTAAAAGTGCCAGAAATTCTAAATCAAGCTGCTGATTTAGAAATTCATATAGTTCTAGCAGCAGAATTTCTCTAAGTGACAAGTGATGTGGAGACTACTGAAGTCAGGTACCTTAACACTAAATCGGAATGTACTTTTCATACAACTGATTTGCATGAATGGTTCGAAAATAATGTTCAGAAATCCATTGCTACTGATTTTGATGAATTCCAAAAACGAGATTCTGGGTCTACTCTGTGCTCAATTTTAATTTAGTAGTTAAAATAAATATATCAGGCTATGAATGGTAGTTCTTACATAGAACGACTCAGTTCTATTATTTAGAAAAAAGCTTGCGTTAATGTTAAGAATTTCGATCACCAATGTTTCAAATGGGCCATTTTGTCGGCACTACATCCTGCAAGTAAAAATGCGTATCGAGTCTCGAATTATAAAAAATATGATAATTATTACGATTTCACTGGGATAACATTTCCAGTGCAACCTAAGCAACTGCCGGAATTTGAAAAACAAAATAATATTTCGATTGATAAATATTTTTTAGAAAAGAGAGAAAAAATTTTTAAAACTTTTCCCCTACATTTAACAGCTAAAAAAAGGTCTAAACATGTAAATATATTACTTATAGAAAATCATCATATAAAAATAAATGATAAGAGAGAAGCAAATAAAATTAAAAATTAAAAAAAAAATTAAAATTTAACAACGAAGATTATGTTGATTTCAACTATTGCGAAATGATGAAAGAGGTAGAAGAAGATGATGCTGAAGAAGATCATATGAAAGAGTAAGGGGGCAAATTATGATCTTAACCGTGCTAATAATAGGATTATAGAAAAGGGATACGAAGAAGAGGTATACCAAGAAGAGCCATACGAAGAAGATGCTGAGTCATAGGATAGGATAGAGAGCAGGGTCAGTCGTACGGATAGTGATGAATACCATTGCCATTATGTGTGGGTTAAAGATTTATCTCGGCTTGTAAGAAGCTCTCTAACTAAATGTAAGCGTAAAATACACATTTGCGATCGTTGCCTGCATTACTTTAAAACGAGTGAAAAACTTACAATACACCCAGTGGAGTGCGTTAGGGTCAATAAATATAAAGTTAGCTAGCCAAAAAGTGGTAATAATATTTTGAAATTTGAAAATCATGATAATAAAAATCAAGTGCCATTAATAGTGTATGCAAACTGACCTCAACCCTGCTTGTATGGGACACGAACAGCTTGTATGGGAGAGAGGCTTCGAAAAGAGGCCAACTTGATGACATCATGAAAAGTTATAGAGGGACCTGTACACCCAGAGCAACTACAAAATAAGCGTACGTATGATCAAATACAAAACAATGAGCACAATATAATAACTTTTAGTTTTTATGATAGCGAGCAATGTAATGTTACCTCCATTACTGGCTCATCGTCTAGCAAGATCGATGAAGTAAATAAAAAATGTTATAGAGAAGAACAAACAGGTGATGACAACGAGAAAAAAGTAACTTGTCAAAAAGAAACAAGTGGGGGTAAGACTACTGCAGTAGAGCTGCCTCATGTGGTAGTAGAAACTTCATATAAAAAACCGAAAAAGAACAAAAT